CAGGGGCTGCAGCCTACGCCGTCGCCGGCAACTCATGGCAGCCCAGCTCCAGGTTGAGCTGTTGTTCAGCATCTTAGCTGTAGAGGGCAGTGTCACTGGGCCTCATATGTGGGATCTGAACTGGGTTCCTCTGGCGTCCCAAGCCAGTTCTTAACCATCGCGCCACTCAGCCGGCCCAGGATTCACAGTCTTTTTCCCACAATGGTTCCCATGACCGATGATATTGGCATAACAATACATCCCTGCCCCTGGGCATGTCCAGATTTTGACACAGTCGAAAATGACTATTGCAAACAATTAAAATTTGGACTATTTTGCAGTCTCCATAATTAAAAATTATACATTGGCAATCACCATCACACTGAGTACAGCTGCAGGTTATCATTCCAGCATTTTCCTCCCTACTCAGTAAAGCATGTGTCAGTGAGGCATGTCATTGTTAAGACATCACTAAATGTCTCACTTACTAATGATGTAATTTACTAAAAACCAAACAAAGGCAGACCCTCATCACCAACAAGAAACCTAAGTGCTTCAAAATGGTACCTTGTTTATCCGTAACAATGGACTCTAACCCCTCAGAACAGATTATGATGTGCCGGTGAGCTCTTGCTCTCCAGTTAGGGCTGCGGCTGGCTACACAGCAGACAACCCACAGCTGACAAAAGATGCACACTCTTTAATTTAGTAATTCTACTTGTAGGAATTTATCTTAAGTCAGTAATCAAGCAAGTGTATAAAGATGCATCCACAGGGATATCCATTGCATGGAAAGAACAATGCCCACCCACAGAGGATAGGTTAAATAAGTTATGCCCAACGTCATTTCGCTAATAGTGGACAGGTGAGAAGCCAGGTGTGTATTTATATGGGCCCCTTGTTAATTAAAGCATCTTATATTAATAGCTTTGTACATTATCTTCAGAAACAATTCTCTGGTTATATTATAGCCATGTTTCCTTCCATAGAACAGAAAGAAAATCTGAGTAGAACAATTATGGGAAGTTTTATTTCTTTGTTTTTATACCACGTGATGGCTTAAAACTGAAGTCTAACAGAAAGACAAGCTATTAACAATGGCTTCCCTTCTCACTGTTTGTCACATGGGTCTGACGCTGTCACATATATTTTGAAAATATAGTCTTTTAACTGAAGTGTATAGCTTCCATGTACATTTGGAGGGGAAAATAGTTTTGAGGTTAGCATTACGGGCGTTCATAAGAAATACCAGAGTGAGAAGTCTCCGAAGGGCAATCAATGGTTCAAAGTCAGCCTCCATTATTCTTGTGCGTGTGGTCTTGGCGAGTTGCCTATCATCTCTGAGCTCAGTTTCCTCACCTGTAAATTGGTCCCATGCACATTGCAGGATTGCTCTGAGGATCAAATGAGATTCCTTGAGAGCAATTTGTAAACTGAAAATTTCTACACAAATGCAAAGTGTTATAGTCCTCATCATCATGATGTCAACAAAACATGAAGAGCTTTTTCAACACTTATTGACATTTTTAGGTAAACCCTGCAGAGAGTAAGATTTTATAAGCAGAAAGTAGTCAAAATAGAACCTTTTGCTATTACCTAATATTTTGATTTAAAAAATCATAAACATGAGTTATTTTACATTTAGGCTATCTTTTTCAAGAAAATTTGACTTGGCGTAACTTTCCTGGTCTCCTGTAGTTAGCACCATCTAAATTGTTCCCTCTCCCATATGCCATAGCTTTAGCTTAGAATTTTTAAATTACATCATATGTTATTCGCCAGCTCAGAGTTTACCTAAATATGCAATTTCCATTGACTGGAAAAAGCTGCATTGCATTTGAATGAGTCTAATGAGAAGGCACAGAGCTGCTGCTTGTCTCAGAGGATTATGTACGATTGTACAGGGTTTATTTCTACCTCTTCACTTTAATTCAGAGAGAAAATACAGTACAGATGAACTCAGAAGTTCTGTTCTTAATACAACTGCGATTGGGGAGGCAGGCCTTTTAATACTTCACTTTTTTTCATTTGGAGATGAGAATAACACTGTCTTACAATTACTCCAGGAATGTTTTCAGGATAAAATAACACAGAGAGAGAGGCTCGTCGATCTTAAATTCGATCAAGGAACAGGTATAGACTAGCATAGGCTTGTTTCACATGTATTATAATAAGTAATGACTATGCCCCAGGGGTTTGTAAATACAGGGCTATATATTTTATATATTCAGATTTGTATATGCAGATTCAACCAGTCATTTTTGTTTTCGCACAGACTGTTGGTTTATCCTCTAAATGTGAATTGTATTATTAAAGTCACACATTGGAAATAAACACATGGGAAAACAGTCATCTTCTCTAGTATTCAAAGAAATATAATTTAACGTGAGCTGGAATATTATTTTATCCTTACTAAATTGGCAAGCAAGCAAACTAAAAAGTCCTCAGTGAGCGTGGACCCTACTCTTGGACATGTGATGATGGCGCTGTGGGTGGGTTCCGCGTGGTGGTGTGAGTCGGTGCAGCACTTATCCAAACCATTGGGAAACCTCTGTCAAGAACCAAATGCCTGATGGTCTATTCTAGAAGATCAGAGAACAACTGAACTGTTCTCTTCAGCGAGTCACTGTCCTGAGAAAGGATCTGTAGTAGATTTTTTTTTTAACTTAATGAATATATCCACTCAATGTGTGGCTCTGGAATGGAACCCCATGTGGACAAACCACCTGTGAAGGACTCTAAGGGGACCACTGGAATGAATATTAGATAATATTAAGGATTGTTATTCATTTTTTTGGCTGTGATAATGTTGTTTTGGCCATGTAGGAAAACGTTATTTTTCAGACATACCTCCTTAAGTATTTAGGGATGTAATTCCATGATGTCTGTGATTTACTTTAAAATACATTAGCATTTTAACACATTGAGGATGGGGCATTTAAATGTATAGACGCAAATCTGTGTCACCAGTCTACAATGTGTTAAAATGAATAAAAAAGACCTAAAATAACATACTATGTGACCTAGAAATTCTACTCCTAGGAATTTTTCCTCAGGAAATAATTTAATAGTAGAAAAATGTATTAAAGATGTATAAACATCATTAAGCATAACAGCAAACAGAGATTACTTGAGTGGCCAACTGTAGGCAAAATTTGGATTAATTAACTTAATGTAGATCAATTCAATAAGCTATCTGCCAGTCATTTAAAAACAATAATTAGGAAAATTATGAAAGACTTGGAAAATTAATGATTCAGTGCTAATTAAAAAATCAGAATATAGAACTGTGGATATTATTTGCACTTTGTATGCATATGAAAAATTGTGTAAGGTGGTAGAATTATAGGTGTTTTGTTTTCAGTATTTCCTTAATGTTATCTTTTTGATTGAAAAATTGTTAAAATAAAAAAAGTAAGAACAGAAAAGAATAGCAAGGGCTGAAGTTGGAGATTTTATAAATTCACTGCCTCAAAGAGCAATCTCCAACTACTCAAGTTGTGACCCTTCTTTCTTTAGGGCATTTTGGAGTCCCTGGAGACAAGGGCTTGCCTGGCATTCAAGGACCCAAAGGACCACCAGGAAGACCAGGACAGCCTGGCTCCCCCGGACCCCCAGGGTGTCCAGGTACCTCGAAAGGCAGCCTGGAACCATCCCAGGCACTTATGCATCTCTTGGTGTATCCAAAAGAGCCAGCCTTCACTTAGACCTGGGCTCATCTCTGGCTCTGCCATTTTCCAGACCTGTGACATTGAACAAATCGCTTAAACTTACCTATTATTTACCTGTCTATTGGAGCTAGTCCTGTCTTACTGAGTTGGTCTGGGAGTAAACTAAGATAAAACCTGTGAAGTGCCTAACAGGGAGCCAGGCACACGGGGCTCCTTTCCAGCCCTCCCTCATTCACCTGCCATTCAGGACACTGCTTTTCTTTTCTCCTTTAGACTTAAGGTAAATATCACACATACAGCACACCATTTTAATGGCTCCTCTTCCTGCAGTCAGAATACAGTGAGAGTCTAAAATCGTAATTGGCAACTTTAATTGCTCAAAGTGTAGTTTCTTCTTCTGAGGTTCAGTGCATTTTTCTCCCTAGAGTTAGGAGAGAAATAAAACAGTATTCCAGGTTACTCATATTTTAAGGATGTAGATGACCTTCCCAGTTAATGTAACTCATATCTCACCTGGGTATCTGCAAAACCTGGCTGTCATCCTCAGGTAATCCAGGGATGCCTGGGCCAATGGGACATCCAGGAGAAATGGGGGATCCTGGACCAAGAGGCCTCATGGGGTATCCAGGGACACCTGGTCTCCCAGGAATAAAAGGTAAGTCAAAAGGTGGCCTGAACCCATCAGAAAGATCCAGCCCATTGGGGCAAATTCACAGTGCCTTTCCCGTACCTGAGAGACATGGCGCTTGGTCATGGCTGGTTCCTACTGTCATTAGCTCCTTCCTATACTTTCTTTATTATTATTATTATTATTATTATTATTATTATTATTATTTTATTAGTTTCAGGTGTTCAAAACAATGTAATACTTAGACATTTATACCCCTCACAAAGTGATAACTCCCCATCCCCAATCTACTACCCCTCTGACATCATATATAGCTGTTACAATTCCAGTGACTCTATTCCCTATGCTGTACTCCACATCCTGTGATTTTATATATATATATATATATATAATTATAGTTGACATTCAGTATTATTCAGCTTCAGCTTCAGGTGTACAGCACAGTGGCCAGGCATGTACTCAGGGCTTCAGGTCGTGTTCATCTAGTCTCCTGACCTGCCTGGCACCAGAATGATGGTGTTACCATCTCATTTTTTGAGGGCATTTCCCCTAGTGTTTTCCATGTGTAGGCATATTCATTTATTCTCTCCTCAGAGAGTTAAGCTCCTATTATGTCCTAGATTCTAAATACCCAATTTCAAAGAAAATAGACATGGTTTCTACTTCATGGAGCTCACAGTTTAGCAGGAGACACACATATTAAAAACATGTGTAAATAAATTTGTATTTACTAGCTGTGGTAAGTGGAAGGGAGAGAAAAGAATAAGATGCTAAGAAAGAGGAAATAGTATTCATTACCTTTGTTAAAGAAACATTTTTTTTCTTGGTTGAATTTTTTGACCTTTAAAGGTATAGTAGACTGGGTTTCATACAGATCTGATTAATATAAAATATGATATTATGTGATATAATATAATAAGTATAATTTATTATTAACAAGTTTTCATCCTCTCCCTTACTCATCCATGGTACTTACTCCTCTTCAGCTCATTTCTTCCATTTTTACTTTGTGTGTACCTCTAGCATAGTATTTGTATTCAATCATATTTGTTTGTTTAGAGGTCTTTCTCATAAAGTAGAATATGATTTTTTAAAATGGCAAGGACCATTTTTATATCCTTGGCATCCAGTAGATACCCAATTGAGTCTGTTGGTTGGTTATTATAAGTATTTTTAAATTTATGAATAAATTAATAAATGAAGAAATGGATAAATAGAAGAACGAACAACTGAGCTAGCAGCTATGAATTGGAGGGTCTTCACCTCAATCAACAATAGAAGAATCAAGCGTTACTTGGTAGATTTTTACAGCCAAGCCCTCTGTATCTCCTCTTCCTCCCTTTTCTTCCCACTGCCCTCTGCTTGTTGGCTAATGCATATACTAAATTTTGGGTAAATGAAAAGTACCTCCCTTTGGAAGAGTCGGAAATCCCTTCTTTCCAGTTTTATCATGGTACTGTTTTGAAAATCCTGATGATGTTTTTCCATACTCAGACCCGTTCACTCATCAGATAGCTTTCAAATCATTAGTTTTCCAGCGAATAGTAGTGTTGTATGTATTACCTGGAGCAATTCTGCAGAGAGGGAAGCCTTTTATTTTGAAAGTTGGTACACGTATGCATTTCTATGCAGTCAATTGACTTGTTGGGGAAAGTTCCCATCACAAGACAAGATATCTTGGTATTATTTTTCTCCCTCTTCACTGGCACTTTTAGTAATGTAAAGTCTAGTGATTTGTGATAAATTTAGGGTTTCCAGCACAATGATAATTATGTTACGAGTTTCTCTGGGTTGTGTGGCCATTTCCTATCTCTGGTGATCCATACAGCCCTGGTGGGGCGTTTTTTGGTCACTTTTTTGAGTATATGGAAGATGAAATTGGTAAAGAACCAAAAGAAAACATTTTCCATTATTAACCACTCTGACTGCATTCCCACTTCTTCCTCACCTCCTAGTGCAGCAAAATAGCAAGGGTTTTCAAGTGTCTTGGTGTCATAACAGTATACACCCAGGTTGACTACAATGACAAGGCTCATGTCATTATTGTTGAGTCTTCCTTTCCCTGAATTAGTTTGCATTTATCACATACCTTCAGTATGAGATGTTATTAAAAAGCAAATAGCTAATGAGTTTGATCAAAGAACAGAATCACTTGAAAAACTATCACCATCGCATCAGAATTCTGTGCTATGGAATACATTTGTTAAGAATGTGAGGAAATTAATATATCAACCCAAATATTCATATCAGCATACAGTTGTGGTGCTTTCTGACCATGGAGTGACACTGTTTCACTTCGAATAGCCCAGTGAACAACCAATCTTTAGAAGAAACAAACAAAACATGGAAATATCTTCCTAAAAATTAAAATGTCTACAATATAAATCCATTGTGGCACTTTATCATGCTGCTATAAAAATTAACCACACTCCGGCAGAAACACTTTGAACTGAGAAACTAAATATTTGAAGTATGCTCTAAATAAGTCAAGGGGCCTGATTTTCTTGTTTGAACAAACCAGCTGCTGAACTCAAAGTTGTTTGCTCTGCCAGAACAGGCCATATGGATTCTGAGTCCCGCATGTGCTCAATCAGATTTAAACTTTAACTTAAACATATGCTAACAATGGCTTGATTCCTAGACTTAAACTTTGACGTGCATATGCCCTCTAAAAGGAAGACACTCAATTCCTAGTTGGGCATTCGCATGGGACTGGAATCATGGAAACAGAAAGACAGCTATCTGTAGCATGGCAGCGACTGTCAAGAATGTGGATTAAGTTATTTTGGTTGGTGGCAAGTAAAATAAATTTCATAAGAACAAAACACCTTGAAATGTCTTTTATTAGCAAAGACATGCCATGCACCTTAGGGCTGTGAAAATCATAGCAACACGCCCCCTCCCTTTTCACAACTAGAGCGTTCCCCTCCCGCTCCACCCCCCACAGCACTCACCAGCCCTGTGGTAATTACCTGTTTGCTCTGTCAAATTCAGGGGTCGTTTCTCTCTGGTTCCTCATCGTCTCATTCAGCGCCTGTCACTAAATACATCTGGGGCCTAAAATCTCCAGGGGTGAGGAGACCATGTGTTAGGCCCTCATGCATTTCGTTAGTTGGCACTCAGGTATTTCCTGAATCAAAAATAAATAAGTCTGATTTCAGAATCTGTTTCGATCGGTTCCCAACCTTGTTGAACCATCACCTATAGACACGTAGGTCTCCCTTTCCCATCAGCTTTAACACTGGGTGACCAGCTGTCCTGGTTTGCTTGGGACTGAGAGGGTGTCTCAGGACACGGAACTTTCAGCGGTAGAACTGGGAAAGTCCCCAAGAAACAGGGACAACTTGGTCCCCCTACTAAAAGTATAAACTTGTACAAGGGCCCAAGGGGATAGTGCTTTCAGGCTTTAGAACAAAAGAAAACCTTAGAAAGGAAACTCAGTCACAAAGAATCTCTGGCTAACACAGATGGAGGCGATGATGACGATGAGGGCTGCAGGGGAGATTAGACTGACTGCAGGGAGAGCACCCAGCCTGTGAGTGCAGCCTTCAATGATGGTTGTTAAGCAAGAAGACAGCAGAGAGGTGAATAAAAATCCTCATTACCAAGGAATGTGCGTTGTTAGCGTAATTGCCTCTCATCTGCACTGTATATATTTTATGCATGAACAACTTTCTGATTTAGAGATGAGACTGATAAAAGAGCTTTCAGTAAAAAAGGAAAAATGGCCCTTAAAACCCTACCCAGATGTAGCTGCATTCAATTTAGAAAGATAACGCTGGGTCAGATAAGGGTCAGCCAGTTCAACAATGGCGGGGGCTGGGACTGTGACAACCCAGGATCTGGATGTGTTGATGTGACAATGGCGAGTTGTCAGAAGCTGAGACATTCCACCCCCAGCCAACTTTCCTTAACCATCAATCTTGGTGGCTTAAGCTGGAGATCAAAACACTGAAATAGCAAAGCAGTCTCAAAAAATTTATTATCATTTCAGATAGATTGCAATAAGTATCCGAATTTGGCAGATGAAGAAGGTCTGTGTGTTCCTTTGGTGCAAACTTGGAACATTGGCTCATAAATAGGAAAGCAGATTGGAAAATAAACTAAACCAGAACTGTTAAAAGTGGTTAGGAAATGAGATCTTTAGGGAAAATTAGGGTGCATTCCTATTTTTTTTTTTTTTGGTGCAAGAGAATATGGCTCATTTGTACCAATCTAAAGTTTAGATTTTAAAAATAGAATAACTGTTTTAAGGACTGATAATAAATAAAATGGAACCGGCTAACTTCCACCCTCTAATAATAGGTCCACAGAGGACTTGCTTTGATGAATGGATAATAATTAGCACTTGACTTATTTATAATACAAACAGATACCTCTAACTTCTCCAAATCTTACTCATCCTGTAACTCTATCACAGAAAGATGTGACAGGCAAACTGCAGTCCACTTATTTTTATAGCTTGCTCTCCACCTGCTCAATCCTTCACCCTTCACATTTTTTCATTCCCTCATTCGTTCATTCACTCATTCATGAAACACTTATTGAACACCTTCTGTGTGTCAGGAGTGACATCAAGTGGGTACATGGGAAGATGAGTAAGACCTGATCTTGCCCTTAATTGATTAGCCCAAAGCAAACCAGTCACCCAAAGACATGATTACTGTTCAGCATGGGACTGGCATGGGGCATCTAGGGAGTCTGTGTAGGTGCCGTGGGGTAGGTGAGGTAGGTGAGTAACACAGTTTCTGTGTGTTACTCATGTTATTATCACAAATGCAAGGGATGTGGTCCTACACTGAATGAATGGCTGGCTGTGCACTGAGGGGCTTTTAGCCTTGGATGAGAAAAGACAGCTACTTGCTGGAAGGTCTCTTAATGAAAGAGGAAGGTTACCAGGCTTGGCCAGGGGCTGAAGAGAAGTTTCTTTCTCCCAAATCAGTCAGTGGGACAAGACGTCGGGAGGTAGTGGCAGAGGGCTTGGCCCACGGGAGATCTTCTGTCCATATTATTATCTGCCTTTCCTTGCTCTAGCCCTCGCTTTCTTCCCTCTACTCCCTGCTTGTAAATCTATACATTTATATACTCTACATATATTTCATATTATTGGTGTGCAATGCATTGTAATATAAATATATTATAAATATATAGATATTACAAATACCTATATATTTATAAATCTGTAGATCTTAGGCATTCAGTGTTCAGTGACAACTTAAGTCAGGTTGGTAGATGTCTCCTCTGATGTCTGACAGAAAGTTCTGAGAGAAGATGGCGGCATCATTGAGATCATATCTAGTTACAGAGACTAGAGTTTTCAATGATCACCATGAAGTTAATTTAGTTTCTGAAAAGAGGTATCAGGACGGTTCTTTTTGAAAGAAATGGTTGTAAAGATAGAGCTGCAGCCAAACTTGACCTGTAAGCCTGTTCTTTCGGAGAAGCACAGTGCTTAAAAGAAAAAAAAGAAAAGAAAAAAAGTTAGGGCATGCACTCCCCAGTGTGCCACAGGCCCCACCTGTCCTGGCGATCTTATTATACTTACCTGCAGACAGACATTACAATTTACAGACCATGGTAGAATGTTCAGATCCTGACCCTGCGAGGAGGGAGGCCTGGGTTTGCTGCCATCCAGTTTCTTCCCCCGTCTAGGGTGATTTTGTTGTCATGAAATTGAAGGTCACTTCCTCCACCAAAGATTCAGTAATTCTACATGGTATTTGATTAGAGAGAAAGATGTTCATGAAATGGTCATAAGCTGACAGCCAAGCTTTAAAACCAAAGGAATGGATGTGTTAAGCAACCTTGGAAGACAACGTCCATCAAATGAATGTGTTGAAGAACAACCCCTGGCATAGATTCAGCCCTGATAATGACATCTAGATGGTTGAGATCTCACAGTTCCTGCCTGGGGAAATCTGTCTGTCTCCATCAGCAAATCCTCCTCTGGGCGGTGCCTGCAAGTTCTGCCAAGTGAAGTCCCATGGTCTTCCCCTGTGGGTCACAGGCCTCTGATGTGTTTCAGGTCCCCCCGGGTTACCTGGCCTGGACGGCCTGCATGGTTTAAAGGGCCAGAAAGGAACCAAAGGCGCTTCAGGTATGAGAAAACCCTCTGTGAGAGACTCAACTGCAGTAAGTGGACCTCTGGTATTTCCAAAGTTCATAAGATTTGGGCTGTGAAACTAAGAAACTGGCTTGGCTTAGAAAGGAAGACTTTTTTTTTTTTTTTTTTTTTTTTTAGCTGAGCCATCCTGCTACCTGTTGGCAGCTCAGCGGCTGCTCAGCTCAGGCTGGACTCGAACCACTGTTGCTCAGAGCTCAAACTCTTGAGCGAGCTCTTAACCAACTGAGCCATTCGGCCAGCCCTGTGGCTTGGCTTAGAGACACGATATTGGAAGTATTTTTAATGTTGAAATGACTTATATAAAAAGGACCCTTGAGAAAACCCAATTTAAGAAGGAATGGCTGATTAATGGTGCCTTTTGTTGATGCTGCTTGGGACTATTGCTCTCCTAAAAATACTCTGAATAATTGCTTAGGTGGAGCTAGATTTCACAATATTCTGAGGAACAGATAAACAGTCGGCATTTTCTTCCCTATTGTTTTAAGTGTGGTAATGCCAAATACAACCATGTGAGTCCAATTAGTACTATGAGCATCCCTCAATAGCCTGCTACTAAAATAAGTTACCTGTACAAATTGCTATTATTTTTGGTATATCAAATAGGGAGTCAACCAACAACTGAATTTTAGCTTGTTCCGTCATTTGAATATAATGCACGTTTGTTGCATTACTTTCTCAGAAAAATAGCTCACCATCAGACACAGTAGCTGAATGAGATGTATAGATTTGAGGAGCTAAAGGGTTGAATTGTTGTGCTTCCAAATTTGTGTCTGTTAAATCTTTATACAGTTTGGAAGGTCAACAAGTAATTTGGGACACTTAGGATTCCTTCAGCGGCTCTTTCAAAGAGTCTGATAAAATGTGGGTCCCCTCCAAGAAACCAGTGAGGCTCTGTGTTTTCAGTGTGGAACTCCACAATAATTGGATTTATATGTCAGTTTCCACCTTCAATTTCAAACCATTTCATTCATAATTATTGTTGAATCTTATTTGTTTTCAGTTTTTTGTCATAGAGGTTGGAGGGTTGGTATTGTCATTAAGCCTTTGTTTTCTCTTAAAATGGAAAATAATTATAAAGTAAATGAAACCTATGGGTGACCAGTGTGATGGATCTTAAGAGAGTAAGCGGCAATTCGGGAAGTGGACGCGGCCATTTGGACATGGTTGCCGCCAGTGGTCAGTCTCCACAGAGCCGGCTGCTTCCCTTTTACACCCCTACTCGGAAGCAGTTCCTGTCCAGGCACTATGACAAGGACAAATAAGAAGATGCAGTGCTAACGCTGTTTTCTTCATTAAGGCTGGAATGCAAAGGGCCCACCTGGGCCAATGGGAATACCTGGGCTGAAAGGGGAGACGGGAGACCCCGGAAGCCCAGGAATTTCTCCTCCAGGCCTTTTTGGAGAAAAAGGTCCCCCAGGTCCCCCAGGTAAGAAGCAGCATGCTTTGCCCCTTTTTCTCAATAATGAAATCAAAACTTCACAAATGCAGTGAGGCTCACATCTGAATATGTCCTTCCTCAGGGAGACCTGGACCGCCTGGGCCTCCAGGTATCAGAGGAAGGGCTCCTAAGGGTGACATTCCTGAGCCGGGTCCACCTGGAGATCAAGGACCTCCTGGCCCTGATGGCCCAAGAGGTATGAGAACCTCGTGGCAAAGGCTGGTGACGCCCCTTTTCTTAGATGCTGCCAGCTCAGTTGGGATGTGGGACCAGCGAGTGCAGAGTAGAAGCACCTCAGCCCCATCAGTTGGGCAGATGGAAAAGGTAGGAATGCGGGCAGCGGTGGGCTGGCAGGACCATACCCAGGACGAGCGCTTAGGCCCCTCACCCTTCTATTTCAACCTTACCAGACCACCTCTCTGTGGGTACAACTGTGACCAGGGGCAGCCTTTCCCATCGCCAGCTCGATGCTCAGCATGAGGTTTCAGAAGTGGCTGGCAGGAGGAAATCTCCCCCTCGGTGTGGGTCAGCAGCACCTGCCACATAAACCAGTGCTGTTGGCCCAGAGCGACAGGCCCCAGGCCTGGCATGCACACAGAAACAGTCCCTTCGTGTGCTGCTAACAGGACATTTTGTTCCTCTCACCAGTTCACAGGGACAAACTCGAGCAAGGCAATATTTAACAAAATAGGGTTGGACCAGAGCTGGCCGGGGAGTCGGGAGGCGAGCATGGCTCAGAGCAGATGATCATATTCCCACTAACCCCACAGAACGCTTTTAGAGAAACGCAAACCCACCGTCTTTACATGTTTAGTGTTTTAGTAAAGGTGGGATTACAATATTTTACAATTCTATTTTACTACAAAAAATAAAAGTTCTTCAAACTGTGATAACTATAGAAGCTAAGTAGGAATAGAATTGGGCTCAATTCCTATGTGTAGACTTGTTTTCAAATAGGTTTATAAGCTTAATTGGGGGAACATTCTTTTCATATCAGCCAAATTTTATCACAAGCCTATCATCCATTTATTCATATGTCTGTCTACATCTATCTATCTATCTATCATCTATCTTACCTATCATCTACCTATTTATATCTATCTATCTATCTATCTATCTATCTATCTATTTATCATCTTTCATCTATCTTTTCTACCTACCTATCATCTACCTATTTATATCTATCTATCTATCTATCTATCATCTATCATCTATCTATCTTTGTATTAGAGCAGTTGGGTGGCAATGCAAACAAAAGTCATAAACTGATACTTCCAAAAGGAATGTCTCTGAAGGGAAGGAAGGCTTTGCATAGGTTCATGTTGTCTAACAGTTACTGACAAGACTATTTCTCAGCTTGGGCTCCATGAGACCCACTCTGTTTCACTTCTGATACTACTGAGTTTCTTATTCTTCTAAATCCCTCTATCCCTTGCTTGCAAACCATTAAATTACTTTCCTTAAGAAGCTCTCAAGCAGGCAGCACACAACACACATCTGTCTCTGACTAAAATCAATTTTTTGCCTCTTCCCTGTGGTCAGGAGCACCCGGGCCTCCAGGGCCCCCTGGGAGTGTTGACCTTCTGCGAGGGGAGCCGGGTGATTATGGTGAGCCGGGGCCTCCCGGTCCCAAGGGCCCGCCAGGCCCTCCAGGACGGAAAGGCTTCCCAGGATGTGATGGGCCACCTGGCCAGAAAGGTATGCATGCAAGTTGTTCCTTAAGTAGCACGTGAAGACTTTCGTTTTCTTGCCCTTAAGGGTCTGGGGTACTGGACCACCATGAGCTAACTCCTATTTCCTATGGAGACAGTGATGACATTTCCCAATATCTTGACTTTCCAAAAATCCTAAAGTTTGGGTAACAGTTGGACAAGAAGCACAAGTTCATCTTTTGCCCCTAATAACATACTTGATCACCTTCTAGACAAGAATTGAACAACAGAAACACAATGCAAGCTACCTGTGTCATGAAAAAGTCGAGTAGCCACATTTAAAAAAAAAAAAGTAAAGAAGAAAAGTAAAATTAATTTTCATGCTTGATTTCATTTAACATAATATATTCAAATATTATTTTAACATATAATCAATAGAAATTATCAGTGGGACAGTCGGGGCTGGTTATATAAACCTCTCCCAAGTAAGAAACCCCTCTTTCCTGCCTTTGAAGTCTAGTGTGTATTTTACACGGACAGTACAACCCAGTTTGGACCTGCCTGTTTCACGTGTTCAATAGCCACATGTGGTTAGTGGCTTCTGTATTAAACAGTTCCGTTTAGACTGCTGACTTTACTCTTATGGGTTCACAAAAGAGGCTCCATTACTGAATTCCTCTATTACTGCAGGCTGAAATATTTATTTTTATTAGTTTTGACCTAACTGCTAACCTTAGTTTTTAGTCACCAGGATTTCAGAGAATTATTAGGTTCACAGAACTTTTTTGTTGAAAAGGGTGCAATCATGATTATCCATTTGAACTCTCTTATGTCATAAATAAAGAAGCTAGATATGAGAGAAGCAAATGTTAAAGCTTGCAGGAGCCCAATAACTAGGGCCCTACCTGACTTCTGAAACAAATGTGAAACAAGGCAAAAGATCCGGGCAGAGGGGAGATCAAAATCCCCTGAGGCTGTCAGGACAATGATGCAAATGGCGTCCCTGGAATTGTGCAGTACACAACCTGTACGATGGTACATAACCACCTTCTTCACCTTTACTAGCAATAAAATAAATTTTAGTGAATGTGGCTTCTATCTGCAGGTAGGTGGGCTTCCAATCATTGAACCCCAGAGTTGGACAGACATGCTATCACTCTAGTCACCAAGAGGAAGGAGGAAGGCGCTGGCTACACAACCTTCCTCTCTCAAGTAAAGACATTCCACCTCCTCAGTTGCTACTCTACAGAATAAACCACCCACCGGAAATAAACTTCAGGATTGGGGAAATAGCATGCATATAAATAACAGCGACCTACAAAAGGATATACAGAGAGTTAGAAATATTGGTGGAACATTAATCATGCTTCTTCCCTCCCTTGGCAGTGGGCATAAGGGCCAAAGAATGCACAACTGTGAAAAAGATGAGGGAGTTTATTTCAGTTTTCCTTTTTAAATTCACACATTGGGAAATATTTTATCAATTCCACAGACATTTATTAAGCACCGACAGGTATATAACAGTCAGAGTCCCCACTCTTATTAAGCATAGAGTTTCACGGGGGAAGACAGACATTCACAATAAAAGATCCACTCATATAAACTGAGATAGGGGCCCTGAGTGAAGGGACACACTTTTGTGAAAGCTTATCAAAAAGCAACTGGACTTCAGCTGGGGTTCCAGGGAGGGCTGCCCTGAGAAAATGAGGCTTGAGGTGCACCCCACAGAATTAGGAGGACTTTGTGGACGAGGAAGAAGCGAAGGGATAGCCTGTGCCAGTCACTGATGACTGGTGCAGCTGAAACTGAGAGAGCGGGAGGAACTCAGGGCTGGGGGCATGTCGTCTCCAGGTAGCGAAGCATCTTCCCTTGTTTCTCCTTCAGTTCCAGTCCTTGGGCTGTCTCCAAAGACAGTTCAGGATTAAGGGCTTTTCATGCTAATTTAGTCCTGGTCATGGAAGCATCTTCCTTGGTCCTTTTAATGGATTACCGTGTTTCCTTCAGACAAAGGCAGCTCTTCTCAGCTTTACAGGAAAAAACTGAGAGACGACTCTTGACCCAGAAGCCAACGTGACTTGGCCCTGCATTTTGTTGGAGTGAACCTTTGAGTTCAATCCATCAAACTTTCATTGCTCTTATACTGCTTTGTTCCAGTGCCCTGGTTTTTATATGTTCCTAGGACCAATGGGATTCCAGGGGCCGCAGGGGCCACATGGACTTCCTGGGTCACCTGGAGAGAAGGGTTTACCTGGCCCTCCAGGCAGACAAGGGCCCCCTGGTCATCCAGGTAAGCTTCTAATGCGTAATCACCTCCACCCAGCAGCCCACACACGGCACTTTGTTTAAACACTTACTCTGACAGTCTCATCTCGCAGAAAGTAATTCTTCCGAAACTACCAGCAAATTCTTATGAGTTTAGCCCTTTGTGATAGAGAGGTTATATTTATTAAAAAGTCTCATCATGTTTGGTAACTAGTATTTATTACCAGAACAAGTATATTTGAAAATTAGGAATTGATGTTACATATACCATTTCTGTGATGCATAAGTCTGTGTTCCCTCACCCAAGAGGCGAAGACTGATCTCATGATGGCTTGGTGAGGATTTGTACATTCAGCTCCTATCCCTGAACTCCCATGGATTTTCCTAGGTGCTTTATTTAATGTTTTCTGTAAAGTACATTAATTCCTCCAAAGTTGAAAGGCTATTTAAGCCTGGTAGGCAACACGTTTTCATCACAGTGTCAAAATAAGCCAAGGACAAGTTGAAAGGGCAAACAGATGAGTGTGTTTGAGATCGGCAGAATAATCTTTCAAGATCCTAAATCAATATTATGGTAATGTGGTGTTAGTTGAGAATATTTCGCAATCTCCCAAAATTAGCACTCTAGTCCAAAAAAATAAATAAACTGCACTGCTTTGTAGTGGATTATAGTCCAACATGACAAAAAGTTGATACTTTGATTCATATCATATTTCCTTTCTTTGCATAACCTATAAAACTTGGCAAATTAATATGGAATTTTCAGAAGCCTTTAAATGGACAGGATTTCTGTATACATTACATTGGGGGCATACTGGCCGTAAGAAATGAACTTCAATTTTATGTTGCACAAGAGAATTTTGTTTCAGGATTTTCTAGGTAGGAAAACTCCATTACTAAATAATAGCCGTTCTTGTCAGTTACACTATGCGGACTTTTTATGTAAATATGATGCCGTCACACTGCTTGTCATCAATGCTGCCCTCAAATTATGATTTATGTTCTCAACCCATTTCACTTTCCTCCTTATTCACAATTTAAAATCTCTTCCCGCCATATGAAAACCACTGTGTGGCCTCGTGTTTTTGGCTTTGGATCGCTCCAGGATTCAGAGGTAAGCATTGCTATAAAATTAATAATTTCCTCTAAATCTGCTTTCCAGTCATTTCCAGCCTTTTTCACTTTACTTGTGAGTTAAACTTTGTTACATTTTTATACATGGGGTGCTGTGATTATATTAGGTGTTCATGACTTTGCTTCCTCGTTACAGATACAGTGAGCCCATATTAGAGTGTCCTTTACAGGTTGTCAAGGCATTGTAGAAACTCAGCTTATATTATTTCAATTCAGGCACCGAGTACAAGTGCTTTCTCTGTCAAATGCTACAGTACATACCAGTGTAAATCTCTTTTATAAATTTCCAATATAAATACATAGAACATCCCTAAAATAATCAGTACCAACAACGTGAAAAGAGGGGTCCTTCACACCCAGGAAGGGACTGTGACAAGCCTTTCCTATACGCCCGACCTGCATTTGCAAGGAACAAACTTTCTTGTGTGTTAAAATGAAAACGCCAGTATTCTTTTCAACTGCGGGTTCACTCGATCCTCCACAATGCAAAAGCAACTTATTTTGTTTCTGGCATTTTCAAAGAGAATAAAAAGAGTTTCTCAAAAGAAGAAAAGCAGAGCTGTGAATGCTTGCATCTGTTTTTCCCAGGCATCTGTCATTAACCCTAATGAAAGCTGCCCTGAATACAACAAACACCCTATTTTATTTTTAGGGCCCTTAAAAGAGGTGCCGTGGCTCCTTTATTTCAGCTTCTGGTTTATTAAAAAGTAAAGAGAAGCAAAATCATAATTTAAAAAATATTCTGCTATTTTAAATATTTATATTTGAAAATTACAGTTGGCATTTTCACTTCAATCCTTTTATTGTTTCTCTGTGACTGTATGTATCAACTCATCGGGAGGTAACATCAAAGTCCTAAATCTGAAGTACCAGCCAAATGCTCACCCCCTTTCCCTTACCACTGGTGAACGACCACCATAATTGTAATTCACCAGATTACTCAGGGAAAACAGAAAATTGTCACATACATCTCCCCCAAGTCACCCAGCTAAGTTTTACATCCATTAAACTGTACATAGAGTAAATATATATCCAACTCTGTGTTGCTTGTGGTTTCATACAATATTTTACAGGGGACCAAATTCCAAACTCCTTGTAGGATCCAAGCCCGTTCTGTGCAGGCACATTACCTGCTGTGTAGACTACAAACTTCGTGATGATGGCCACATTTTCTAGGATTTTCACGCTGCTTTATCATTGGTTGCTGTTCTTAAAATTATTTCGCACGTTTGTGTGAATTTTAAGACAACCATAACTAATAAACGATGTGTTTTAAAATAATGCTCCATTTCTTAGCATTCATCACACAGATGGGAGGAGCTATTAAGGCCGTATGGCATGGCAGTGAAGAACATAGATTTGGAGCCAGAACATCCGGGATTCTAATCTAAACTCTGCCACGTCACCTTAGATACGTCACTTTTCCTTTCCTGTGACACACAGGCTGGTGGGGAGCATTTTAATCGGAAAGCACTGAACACAGCGCCTGATACGTGATAAAGCATTCAATCCGTGTTAGCTGTTATCATTATTGCTGACTGTTATTATTTCTTTTGCCTTGTGGAATGTTCACAGGGTGACTGAGCTTTAGAAAAAAAAAATGTCTTAAAGATATAAATGTAACCAAGGAGAAAAAAAATTCCAAACCTTTAGAGCAGTGGTTCTCAAAGTGCGATTGGCACCATTGGCCTCACTGGGAACATATTTGATGTGCAAAAGTTGGGCCCACCCCAGGCCTACTGGCTCAACACTCTGGGCTCTAACTGGCCAGGTAGTTCTGAGCTCAAGCCAGAACTGCAGCTTACACTGGTGCTTTTCAGCCTGGCTAATGTTGGGATCATCTGGAAAAAAATGACCGAAGCCTGGGTCCACCCCCAGAAATCCCAATGCAATGAGTCTAGGTGGGTCCCAGCACCAGTACCTTTGAAAAGCTCCCCAGCTGCGTGTATAGTACAACTCAGTGTCCTGAGTGTATAGGACACTGCCCAGGCCATGTCTACACCAATTCAACCAGTATTTTGGGGTGCTGGGAGAGGGACACAGGCATCAGTATTTAATTAACTGCCCTGGGTGATTCCAACTGAGTGCAAGGTTAAAAGTCGTGCTTTAGTGCCTCTGAAGAATGAAATTCTATCTCTTTGAGTGACAAATGCTATGGAACCCCTGTCATCCCTTCCCCCTGGTTGCAGTGTAGAGTAATGAATTAGAGTGACATTAAGCTGAGCATTAAGAACCCACCAGTACCTTTCCCGATGCCACCTGTGGCTGGCTCCCCAGTAAAACGGTGCCCAAAGACTTAAACCCTGTGAAGGTCACCAAATTATTGCTGACTCAACCACCCTTCACTCTTTCATACTTCTCTTGCTTCCTCTGAGATCCCATTCGCTCAATCATTCATTCATTCATTCATTCACTCACTCACTCATTCATTCGTTCATTCATTCACTCAGTCAGTCATTTATTCAACAACATTCTTTCTGGATGTTTTCCATGCACCCGAATGAACAGTCTGCCTTCATGGAGCTTTGATGGGGTTGCTGAACATCCTTGATGACATGGACGTGTAGTGTCAGAAGCCCGTCTAACTGGAAGGAGTATGGTCATCAGCACTGGACTCCCTCACAAGCAGTGATTCCTATTTCAGGTGAACAAGGGCCCCCTGCAGATGTGGAAGCCTGCCCCCGAATCCCTGGGCTTCCTGGGGTACCAGGCCCACGAGGACCAGAAGGACCCATGGGGTTCCCGGGAGTGAAAGGCCCCCCAGGAACAGGTATGAGCCTCACGCTGGTTCATTACATGCATATTTTGTTGCTGAAATGAAAGTCCTTGCTGTTTTTCGCTATGTAGGTTTTGTTCTTTTTCTGGAGCCTAAACAACTCGTGAGAATGAAGCAATGCAAACTTTTTCCCCCTTATACAACTTTTTCTGCATTTATCTGAAGGTTTAATCATGCACGAGCTGGATCAGCACGTCCCTTCCATTTTTGTGTTGAAATCCTACTTAAATCTTTTATGCTTGCGTAACTACTGGACATGAGGTCTTGAAATCCCTTAGCCCAACAGAGTACATGCTCCATTAAGAGTCAATAATAGCTGCTGATTTGATTTTGAAAGACAAACTACTGAATTGGGGCTCTGTGGGGTAGAAACAGCCTACAGGAAGGAAGAAGGAGGTGGACCTGCTTGGAGGAAGGAGACGGAGGGAAAAGGGGGAGGTCTTTGAGTTATGGCAATGGCCGCCTCATTCATTTCATTGATTTGAGCGTTGCTCAGTCATTGTCAGGGTAGCAGGATCCTTATCTAAGTATTTAAACCAAACCATTCCTTTAATAATGGCCTCCAAATAGTTTATTTTCTCTTCTCATATCGCCCTCGCCTTGGCTAAGTTACAAAGAGATTAGGGAGTCCGGGGCTGGTCGTCGAGAGGCCAATGATCTCTTTGGACCAATGGGCAGTGCCATGATTCTACACAAACTGTGTGCAAATTATCCTAAGAGGCACGAGGCCATTCCCTTTCCCTGTTGTCCCACTGCACAGCTGTGGTTTTAGCTCTTTTTGATTTAGGGCCAAAGGGATTGGATGCAGAACTGAATTTTGCACCACCTGTTTTTCTCGTGTTTCCCCAAACCCACGTAGCAAAGGGCCCCAGAGATGCCCCCTCTGCTGGAGCCTGAGGAGCTCTTGGGTCGCGTCCAGACCTGCCCTGGAGCCTCCTCGAGTTAGTGTGGGGTTTGTTCGGAGTCGCTGCAGCACATCTGTGTTTGTGCACTAAGTTAACTGGGGTCCCCGGGAGCACCCACTGGGAGTTGAGGCAATTACTTAACTCCTCTTTTCTTTGGCATTCGTTGCATGGACAAAAGCTCTCAGTCAGGCAGTATAACTCGTCACTCAACCTGATTTTAAAACTTAGCTGCCTTGTTGTGTATATATTCGCAACATTGAGGGCCGGGTCCCCCTACCATAATATATATATATATATATATATATATATATATATATATATATATATATATATATTTCCCCTCAAGCAGAAGATATGGCCTCTAATGGCTCTACAAAGTCTTCTTAGTGACTTCTGCAAAGTCGTTTTAGTGACTACTTCCAGAGTCCCCCCTACTCTTCATAAAGTATGGTACTAGGTGTTGTGGGCAACACAAGTGTGAATAAAAAGTGTTTTTCACCCCTCTAGGGTCTCACAACCTCATGGCAGAAATAGGCGGCAGACCATAAGTAACTCTAAATAACGGGAGATCATAATTTCTGTTTTAAAGGAGTTTCAAGCAAAAGGCATCAGGAGAAGGGGACAGGGAGAGGTGAATTCCAGTGGGGCGTATCACAGGACTGCTAAGACCCCAGCGTGAACAGAGAGAGCCTTTAATGAAAGATTGGGCTTAGAGGAACAAGAACAGTCCAACAGGGAGATGGCGGGAGCACAGGTGGGACAGGCTGGCCTAATAACCTGGTAAGCAAGAATTACCAGGTACATCCTTACTATTCAAAGTATGGTCACACCCCAGACGTACCGAGTTAGGATCTGTATTTGAACAAGATCCCCAGAACATTGTCTGTACATTCAAGTTTGAGAAACTCTCATTCGAATTATACAAAATGCCGTCCCAGAAAGAGTCAGCTAAGAGTGACACCTTCCCTACTGACTCCATCCTTGCCATAGGTTAAGGGCTCCTGGAGGGGCTTGAAAAAGCACTGATGCCTGAGCCTCACTCCTGACCAGGAGAATGCAGAGGGGAGCAGAGCCCAAGTGTGTCGAAAAGCTCCCCAGGTGACTGAAGCAGGCAGCCAGGGCTGAGACCCGCTGCTTTACCCCAACATCAAAGGGGACCAGATGGCTGGTTGGGTTCACTCATTGTGGTAGCTTTGGAAAATAACCAAAGAAAGCAACTGAGACAAAAAATAAAAATAAGTGGGCAAATTCTGTACACTTTAACTTAATAGTTTTCTTGAGCACATGCAAGATTGTCTCTTCATAGACAGCGAGCCTCTGGAAGAGGGCCGACAGTCGATGTGGGCCCAGGTGTGATCACCTGTCACCTCCAATTCCTCCCGACATGGGTCGGATGGGTTCGTCCAGCTGGAGGTGGCCACAGAAGGGCCTTCTAGAAGCTGGCTTCCCATGCCCTCTCCTTATTGATGGGGCTGACCCTGTCTGCTGGCTGTGAGAATATCCTGAGGCCACAGTTGTGCCGTGGAATGTGATTATGTTTCAAAAAAGTACCGTGAAGCATCCCCTAGTCTTCCCCATGTCTCACAGTGTGGGCTGCAGCGCTCCGTGGGCCAGTCTCCCTGGAATTTTCCGCCCTACTGTGCACCCACTCCCCAGTCACTGCTTTGGTCTGGGCCCCCTCCTCTCTGACACGGGCGCCCTGCCTCCTGTTATAAAGGACCCCTGCTTGCTGTATTCTTTGGTCCCTTCTTCCTGTCTATTCCCACTGGTCACTGGATGTATTGGCCATATTTTCCAGTTGCTAAAAAGTGACAAGTCTATTCTAAGGGTCTAAAGTGGCCCAGCCCCTAATGGCTTGGGCCACCTGTAGGTGTGAGGGGCTGTTCATACCACCCCCAAGGTTGGTAGTGAAGGATCGGCTGCCACTAGGAAGTACCATCGCCACTTAAAATGACATTGTTGGTTTCCTCCTGTTTTCCCTTCAAAACCTTTTTCATTGCTAATCTGATGAAACCAAGCACATAGCCAAGTGCTGCAGCTGAGATCGACATAGAAAAAAATCCAACTTCTGGCTCTTTTCCTGCCCCAGTGAGTGTGGGTAACGGCCACGCTAAGTATAACTTGTGTCTGTTAAGAGGCCTTCACACGGAAAGTCTAACGCTTTTCTCCTCACACATCTCTTTGATCTACGACTTTTCTTCCCTGTGATGAACCCAAAGGCGGTTTCCATTTTGGTTTGAACTGTTGCTGCCTCATGGACGTACCCACATCCTGTTGGGGTGTGTTTATCTTCAAGTCAACATGGGACCCTCTCAGAGGAAGTAATCTGGCGAACACTGGAGGGCTCTTAGATGTATTTTTGGTCTTTAAAACAAGTTCCAGGTGGAGGACACGTCTGTATAGTGGAAAGTTCTGGGCACGTAAGTCAGGTTAGCAAAGACATGCTTTCTGTCTTCAGAAATGTCATCCTCCTGACAATTTCTCTGTCTTCCCTAAAGGGAGCAGAGCCGACCTTTATAACATCTGGCCAGTGAACTCTTTCCCCAGACTGACCGTGATCTCGCCCCACGTTGATACTTTGCGGGGGAATAATGCCTGCTTCCTTTTCAATGAGAAACCCTTTCAGCACGTGGGCAGCCCTTTCCAGTAAAGCACAGTGGCTGCAGGCTGGGATTAACCTTGTGGGGTGGGAGTGAGAAGAGAATGCTCTGAGCTCACCGTCGGGGCCCTGTGTTCCTTCTAAAATAACGGACATGCTCTTTGAAGCTGGTGCCAATTTGCACACAGCAGCACCATCCGGGAAGGGGAGGCTCTGCCCAGTTCTAGAAAGGAGAGGGTGTCTCTCGCCCAGATGGGGGAGGGGCAGGCTTGCTTCCTTGCTTACTAAGTGACGGCCACGTACAGAACACAGTCCAGGCACCGCTCGGCATTCTAAGAGAATCCACTTGTGATTCAAGGGTGAGAAAGCCTGATGACAGCCCCCGAAAAGCCAGGAATGCCCAGAACACCCACACAGAGCGTCCATCACCAGCATAGGGTGTGGAACGAAGGGACTGGCTGGTGATGGGGACTGGAGAGCAGGTTTGTGTGGGACACTCTCAGGCAGGCGATACTAGAACACATTTTAAAAGCAGTGACGTTTGGCGGGGTGGGGGGCATGCGTTTCAGATGGCTACAAAGGGGGCCTGTGTGAGAACGTGAAGTCCAGTGATGCAGCTACCTGGTCACCAGGGTATGGCAGTCCCCTGCCCTCAGCCCTTGGGTGGCCCCCAAATCCCTTGCAGACCAAGTCCAAGGGTGAAAAAGAGTGAAAGCTACTTAAGCTTTCTACTTAAGCCTCTTTGACTTAATCAGTTTGGCTTTTGGGTAATTTGTGGCAGAGAGAGAGAGAGAGAGAAAGTGAGAGAGAGAGGGAGAGAGATCAGACAGAGAGGAAGAAAGGGACTGAGGGAGGGAGAGACTGGGAGCCTTGAGAGGGCTAGTAATTCAGGTAAGTGGCGCTCATGGCAATAAAGTCCCCTGAGGCAAGGACAGTGTCCGCTACTCTGAGCAGAGGAGCATGTGGCTAGTGAAGTGACGTCTTGGTCAAAAGTAAGCAAACACTTACAGAATCCCTCGAGTACCAGTGTGTCTGCTGCAAGTCCCCCAGCTTACAACCTCCCAGGAGCACCCCTGAGCTCTGCGCCTGGTCACGCAGCAGGGGCTGGTGGCTGACGGCACAGCCTCTGCACTCCTCTCCACACGTGACCAGCTCCATGGCTTTTCTGCGTCTGTGGCACATGACAGCACTTAGTCATATGGCTGCTGTGAAGACCAAATTGGATAATCCACATAAAGGGACTAGCATGGTACCTAGTACATTCCAAAAACTAAATTAAAAAAAAAAACAATTAAAAAAAATCGCTGCTCTTACTCCAAATTTAACATGATCCCCAATTGAATCCTAATAAATGTCATTCATTCCTCCATTCAGGCTTCTAAAAAATCATTATTAAGGATAACCTTTAAATTATAGAAGCCATACATGTGGAATGTAAAACAATGAAAAGGGTCAAATATACAAAAATAGGAGGAACATGTGAAGACCTTTCAGCACCTCCCTGGTCTGGCTTCAAATCCCTGCTCTGACTGTTGTTGGCTCATGGACCTTTATGGGCAAGCTACTTGACCTCTCAGAGCCTCAATGAGCCTGGTGCCAAGTGGAGACAGTAGAATCCCAACTTCCCGTCGCCGGGAGCATGAAAGGAGCTGGTGCTCTAGTGCCAGAGTAGGAAGCCGGGGTATTTGCCATGGGTGCTGCCAGCTAGCGGGTGTCACACTGTTCTCACCACTGCCATCGTGGGCTGTCGTGCAGGGTGCAAAGGAGAGCGCGGGCTGGATGGCAGGAGGGGCAAGGATGGCATCCCAGGGCCCCCTGGACCGCCGGGACACAAAGGTGACATGGGAGAAGCCGGCTGCCCTGGAGCACCAGGTAAAGAGTTTCAGCGTCTTGTCTTTTCTCTGTCTCGGTAGATCTGAGAACTGGCCTCTCAAGCAGCTTTCCAAACTGATCCCAATCAAAGCACTTGCCTCAGATACCAACTCACCAGGTAGTAGGCAGGTGGATGCAACAAGAGAACAGGATGTATCTCCCAGGTTCTCACTGACGCTCAGCCATCATAAAAACGCATCAAGGCCCCGTCTCCAGTTCAGTATTTTCCTAAATCACTATACCTTGGCATAAAGGGCTCAGCCATGTCCGCTGTCCACTGTTCCAAGGTAAGCCTAGCATTTTTGGTGTGACCACCTTTGAGAGGCTGTGCTGAAGATCTGGGGATGGTGGAGGGGGTCTCACCCCCCACACTGGATGACTGACTCACTTAGCCTTTGGTTTTCTGACTTCACTTCATCAAATTGTACAACCATTAGTAAATTTATATAGCATGCAAGGCTCTTTCTTAAGAAAAAAACATGGGGGAGTGGGCCTTGGGTGAGGGGAGACAGAAGACTTTTCAGAATAGACATCTGAAATACGGCGCGCCAGGCAATATGTTAGGCACAGGGGCCCAAAGACTCCCAGACACAGTCTCATCTTTGGAGAGTCGGAGTGAGGAGGCCTAGGGGTGGGTGGGGAGGGGGGGCTGCCACACAAAGGGACCCGCAGTCTGAAAGCTGCAGCTCAGCTCTGCCAGTTGTTGCCGTATAGAAATGTGAGCCCAATGTTCCCTACACTCCGGTTTTCAAGTCCAAGGCCTCAACTTGTGAAATCTTGACAAGTCAAGCAAAACACAGGAATAGGCCTCATTCAGTCCACAAGCTACCACTTTATAACCTCTGGTTTATAGTGTAAATGCTGAAGAGACTCCCAGTCTTCCAGAAACAAGTTAAAAACGAACAAACAAGCAAAAGCTTTTGGTTTCCAAGTCAAACTTCACCTTTTGCTCTGGCCAATTAGAAACGGTCATAGGCCTTCTTCAACAGGTCAGCCCCTGTGGTGCCAGAGGACACAGACCCTGTTCGCGCTCTGTAGGCCTGAGCCTTTCCCACCTGCCAACAAGAATTCTAGAGCTAGGCCTTCCTTCCACCTCCCCCACCTTATAAAAGAAGTCATACAAGTAGATCGCAAGCCACTGTCCTCCTTAGAACAGAACTGACAATATGCCAGACCCGTGAGACAGGTCGGGGAGGTGTAAGAAAAACCAACTTTGAGAATCGCTTTTTCGGACGGGTGGGCTCCCTGTCTGGTCTGAGAAGGCTGGGGGATCGCACGTGGGGTATGTCATTATCCCGCTCTGGTTCTTTTCCTCTCAGCACATACCACGTTCTAACATCCTCCAGACTTTGCCTTTTTATTATGCTTATGGTTTGTCATTTCTCTTCTTCAAGGAGAACGTAAGCTCTAGGAGGGAGGGAGCTTTGTCTCTTTTCTGTATTTATGCTAATGTAGGCCGGCCACCCAGGTGCTGCTTGGAAGACATACTTGCTGAAGGAGCCGCCTGTGTGCTGCAGTGGCGTGAGGGCAGCTTTCCTGGGAGAGGGCCGTGCGTGCTCCTCTCTGTTCCCTGAGTGTTCAGCGATGCACCCAAACAGAGGTGCTCAGAAATGTCGGTTCAACTGCCTTCATTTTTTTTTCCCTTTATTCCTCCAGGCCCTCCTGGGCCCATTGGGGATCCTGGGCCCAAAGGGTTTGGCCCTGGGTACCTCAGCGGCTTCCTCCTGGTTCTCCACAGTCAGACAGACGGAGAGCCCACCTGCCCCGCGGGCATGCCCAGGCTCTGGACGGGTTACAGCCTGTTATACCTGGAAGGGCAGGAGAGAGCTCACAGCCAAGACCTCGGTACGTACAGAGAACGTGGCCGCCCGTGTCCACTGCCTTAGAGTAAAGCTTCCGGGTTAACCTTATGGATTCATGAACATCTTAAATAATTGCTTATCTTCTGTGAAAAATTTTCTTTTTAAACTATCATGCTAATTCTCAACGAGTTCTATTAAACCTGTGAATCTGAGGTGCCAAGGAGGCTCATTCTGGCTACGGTTACTGTTATCTAGCTACTTGTTAGTTTTTAAAAAATGATTTTCAGTAAGTTAAATGCAACTCTGACATAAAATGCAGTTTTTGCTTCCAAATGTAAATTACTTAATCAGGACACGGTCAGTTCCTGTGTTTATACGTAAATGACGCATCAACATGATGTGACATTAGCTAGCACCGACTCTGCATTCCTCCAATTTCTTCTGAAACTACAGAACTTATTTTGAGAGTCATCCTTGGTACTACTTGTCAATTTTCAATAGTAGACTCGTATGACTGATTTTAAGCCAAGAGTGTAAGCACCCGGATGCCAGCAAACATTCTTTCCAAGATGATGGCGGTGGGGGTGGTAGACACGGGAACGATATGCCAACAGGAATGGTTGACGGTGAGATGAGTTTTGTCACTGCTTTCACTGGGCCATAACCTCCGCTCTTAATAAGGCTGGTTGAAGGGTACAGGCTTAGAGGTGACAGCTGAATGCATGTCCCTTTCCATTTCTCCCTTGCGTTCAGCCATGGCCTTTCCCATCAGAACTGCCTTGGGGAAAAGAAGAAGAAACATTTCTGCCTTTACTCCGTTTACTTCTCTCCTCCTCTCCTTTCTGCCATCAGTCACTTTCCTGCTGGTCTCGGTACCACCAGGCTCTCTCCTCCACCCTGGCCTGGCTAGAGTGTACATCGCAAAGCTCTGCAGAGGTTTTGCGGTAAAATCCAAAGTCCTCAACCAGATGGACAGAGCCCGCATCCTCTGGTCTGATTGATCTCTGCACACCCTTGAGACAGAGACAGACACACAGACCTCCTCCTCCACTCTCCCCCCACTGAACTTTTCTGAGTTCTTTGGGCTCCATGCTCCGTTATTATCTCTGGCCCTCTTACTGGTGTCTCTTCTTTGAACAGTCTCCACTGTCTCCAAACCTGGCCACATGTTTTCATATTCCAGGTCCTAGCTTCTAATCACCCCCTCCGGTTATCCTTGCCGTGAGTCCCGGGGCCCCATACCTCTCAGGCACAGGGCTCGTCGAGCTGTGTTTTCATTGCCTGTTTGCTCCTCCAGCTTCACCACCAGGCCAGGCCATGCGCTCCGCGAAGCCAGGGAGGTGTGCTCACAGCTCTGCTGCCTGCGCCTGTCTGATTGTTGGGCTCATGAGTGATGAGTGGATGAGGGAAGGAGGGCTGGCCCACAAGACAAAGGCGGTGGCAGAAATGGTCAGGCACATGCCCTGCTTTCACCACCACAGAAGCAGACTTTGGTAAGGGCTCCATCTGCCAGAGGGAGTGTCTGCAGATGGCCCACGCAGGAAGGTCGCTGGGCACACCAGGACAGGCTGCTCACATGCCACGTTGTCTCTTCTTCCTTCCCAAGGTCTGGCGGGGTCTTGCCTCCCCGTGTTTAGCACGCTGCCCTTTGCCTACTGTAATATCCACCAAGTGTGCCACTACGCCCAGAGAAACGACAGATCCTACTGGCTGGCCAGCGCTGCGCCCTTGCCCATGATGCCACTCTCGGAGGAGGAGATCCGCCCGTACATCAGCCGCTGTGCCGTGTGCGAGGCCCCGGCCCAGGCGGTGGCCGTGCACAGCCAGGACCAGTCCATCCCCCCTTGTCCGCGTGCCTGGCGCAGCCTCTGGATTGGGTACTCCTTCCTAATGGTGAGCCCCTGCACACCCACCATTGTCACACCCCTCTCTTGTCCCTTCACTCTGGACTTGACAGTAATTCTGTGAACTCTGTGCAGATGGACAACAGGAAGACATGAGGTCATAAAGGCCACCCCAAACCATAGCCTGCTGAGATGCAGGGCCATTCTTTATCCTCAATGTCAATTAGTTTATTATTATTATTATTATTATTATTATTATTATTATTATTATTATTATTTCTTTGGTAGAATTTAGAAGATGGAACTACTCAGCCATCAGTGAGAGTGGTTTAAATCTGTGTGTACAGCCAACTTGTCTCTTACTTCGCCTTTCCTCAGCAGATCATAGTTTGTCCTTCCTGGAATGATTTCAGGAAAAATGACCAAGTTAGGCCCAGACCTCAGAATGTCACTGTTTGGGTCTGGAGTTGTCTGTGTGTGTCTGAGCCCTAATTCTCTCTTCTTGTCCTGGTAGCACACTGGAGCTGGGGACCAAGGAGGAGGGCAGGCCCTCATGTCACCTGGCAGCTGCCTGGAAGATTTCAGAGCGGCCCCATTCCTGGAATGCCAAGGACGGCAAGGGACTTGCCACTTTTTTGCAAATGAATATAGCTTCTGGCTGACCACGGTGAATCCACACCTGCAGTTTGTCTCGGCACCATCACCAGACACCTTAAAAGAAAGCCAGGCACAGCGTCAGAAAGTCAGCAGGTGCCAGGTCTGCGTGAAGAGTAGCTAGAGAACCCAAAACTTGCCAATGTGCCGCCAAGAAAAACTTCCTAGGGGCCTAAGGCATCCTAGGCTGTGCTACAAGATTCAATGGTGCTACTTTCAGACTCCAGGTATAGCTGTTTCTTCTGTTTCAATGTGGTTATTCCCACAGTACTGTAATCCTTTCCTCTGTTCTGGACGGATTAAGCAAAGGCTACATGTATGGATTGTTTGGCCCTACCAATCTAAATGAAACCCAGATATTCTTATTTTATTGAGGATGGTGGAAGAGCTGGCTTTATTTAAAAATATGGTAATTCACAGGAAGGCAAATAGATGATAAAAGGCCAGATTACAAATCACGTTACCGAAAACTCCATTCATTGGTTAATCGCACCTCACACAATTGAAGGCAATTACTCTGTATTACAGTGAGCTTCTGGATGGATTTTACAGGAAAAAATAAATAGGCCAACAAATGAAACTAGAATGCAGAGGTTTCCAACATTTCAAAATGATTGCCTCGGTAATCTATTTTTCCATGCACTTTAAATAATTGTAAAACCATAACCCAAGGAGGTTTAAAGAAGAACAAAGATCTACACAGCCAGCATTCACAGTTCGTTTCAAAGCAGAATGAAACATCTCGCCAGAAAGGACCACAGACACGCGGTATTCCAAAGATGCGACATTAGCATAAACACGTCACCGACGAACATTAAACATTATGTTCTCTTCTGCATTTTCCAGAGAATAGAAATGCCTACTTTGGCAGCCCTTTTGAAAAGTAGCAATTATGGAAAAAATATATTCAATAGGGATTAAGAGCCTAAAAGCTATTAATGAATATTAAGGCAGTGATTCACAAAAATTGACTCCCCATTGCCGTGAACTTCCAAACAGACCACTTTTCCCCAGTTGGGGTCCAGCTTGTCTTCCGTGCATGTGCGTGCTAATGGGACTCAAGCCCCATGGGGCGTCCTCAGGCCGGCACTTGGCTCACACAAAGCATCTCGCTCCCCTTCCCCATCGGTGCCCGCAGAGCTGCCTCGCAGCCCACTGTGCAATCTCCCTCCATACACATAATAGCATCTCATATGAGAAGTGACAGAGCTGTCATTATGCACTTGGGAGAAAATTAAAGGCCGACTTAATTAAACTTAGGTAAGAAGACTCATTTAAGTCATGGTCACCCCACCAGGAAGACATGGCACTATCTTTAAATGAAACAAAGACAATTTGAATTTTATGTTCCTGTTATTGGTTTTTCTGGGAGCATCCTGTTTTCAAATTCTTTAAAAAGTCTTATATCAGTATTATACCAAAGCAGCAGTTTGACATTTGGCATTAATGTGTTCTATAAAACTTTAGATGGTATGCCAATTTATAATGAGTCATTTTCTGAATAGCAAAGGATATGTTTTCAGTTTTGCTAGGAAATCAGTGGTCTAATCCTAAAAATCAAAAGGCTTGTTGGAAAAGACTTTTAAGAAACTTTCCTCCTTCCTTTAAAAAAAAAGTGTCATCTTAGAGAAAACCTAAAAAAATTCTCATAAGTGACACTCACTTTAATGTGTAGTTTCAATGCACTTAAAATAATTGAGAGAAGAAAAACTCGATTAAAACTTTGTTCATAAGAAATGTTTTTCTTGCCAAACATTAATTAGGAATGTGCCCTTATGTGCAGAACACATTTCAAATGAGCCTTGTTATGGGCTGCCCCTGGTTGGCAAATTCACTTTAAAAATACTTTTCTTGTGATAAGAAAAATGTACATTTTAAGATGAAATATTTTCTTGATGTATCTAGTTCATTTGACCCATTTATTTAAAAAAAAACACCATGCTATGGCATTTTACATATTTTTGAACACCTGAAATTTAAGCCAATTTCAACCTTATTGATAATTACACTTTCAGAAGCAAAAGCTTTATAATATTATTACCAAAACTCAAGCCTTCCAAAAATTCATCTTGTTCATTCATGAACATGGTCTGAGAACATTTTCTGGGAAGAGGTAAGGGTGACACATGAAACGTAAGAATCATATTTTGCTTACTAAATTATTTCAAACACTAACTTTTGTATAAGAATATTACCTTCATAAGCTTGCCCAATTCCTTCCCAAGCATCCCTCCCCCACTTTGTGGGATGAAGGTGTCTACGTGGCCCAATGGGAATTGCTCTGGGTCATGAGTTGGAGGCTGGAGGTTTCCTTCGGGGTTCTTAGTCTCAGTGGACAGAGCCCATCCATCCCGGTACCCACATGTCCATGCTACGTGTCATGGCCCACTCCTGCTCCCCTCACACTCCTCAGACCTACGCTTCAGCCACCACTTCCTGCAGACTGCTCCCTTCCTCTCTGGCCTCAGTGCACCTGTCTTAACACAGCCTTGGTCTTTCACCTGGACTCTTGTAGTAGCCTTCTCCCAACTGATGCCTCCACTTTCAAAACCCAGTTGTCATTTCTCTAAGATGTACACTTGCTTTTGTTATTCTTTGCCTTCAAAATCCTTCAGTGTGTCCACTGCCTATGAAGTCCAAATGACTCCCTATGGTGTGAAAGGGCCTGCAGAAACTGTCCCCGGCCGACACCTCTCGGCTCGTCACAGAGATGCATTCCTATCTCCATGATGTGCCCCCTCAGGTACGTTTACCTGCCAAATTCTTATCTTTAAAGACTGGATTAGTTGAGGGGGAGGTGTTTGTGAATTTCCTCAAGGAGACACGGACTCGCTCCTGCTCCCCATACACCCTCTCGTGTTCCCCTGTTGCTCCTGTAATGTCTCATCACGTTCCTCCATTCTCTTGCTAAAATGTAAGCCCCTCGAGGGCAGTGCCATGGTTTACTCCTCTTTGTATGCCCAGTGCCTACACAGAGCTGAGCACCTTATTGACAATTCTTTATTGAGTGACAACTGAACCAGCATCATTAGGCATTAGATGTTCAGCTCTGCTTATAGTGTTCTCATTGACAAAACAGTAACGAGTCTACACCATTTCTTATTTCAAAATATTTGACTGTGACGTTTGCACACCCGCGATCTCGTCTCACAATGTTTGACAAAAAGCCAATTGACCAGCTGGCCTGAAACTCTCTGAAGCTGCTCTTTGAGAGATGGAGGTGGGGAACCCATGAGAACAGAGTGGTTTGGGGGAGCCCAGAAGGCCTGCATCACAGGGTCAACTGAAAACCATCAACCCCCACCCCCTGAAAAATAGCTTACTTTGGCATAAACTGAAATTTCAGAAATGATCAAATTTGAGCGATTTGGCTGAGAGGAGACTCTTCACTGAACTGTGACATGACGTAACTCAGGCTGTAACCTCTGTTCCATCATGACATAAGAGCTTCTGGTACCAGACTGCTGCTGCAAAATCTGTACACGTTACCCATCGGTGCTTAGGAACATAGTGTCCCAGGAATGGTGCGCTAAAACTGGACTTTATCACAGATTTCATTTTGAGTCTCTTCTAGATTATAACAAAGCAAATCATTCCATGTGTTCCAGGAAATTACATTAGATGTGTGTTTCTATCAGCTCACCGAACTATTGTAATTTGATAATTGTTACTTTTATTTGATATAGCTACAAGAATAGTGGGAAAATGTGGACCTTAGAGTTGGTTGAATCCAGGTTTGAATCTGGCTCTGTCTCTTAGGGAATCTAATGTTCCCCTGGACTAGTTACACCAAGTCCCTGCGCCCTATTTTCTTCATTTATAAAATGGGACATAACACCTACTCTTGCATTGAAAATAAAGTTAGATTATGTGCGTAGCACATAGCAGTCATCATATACTTATTTGGTCAGGTCCTCCACTTAAAACAAACCATTTAATATGATTTTTTTTTTTACATAGTCGAATTATGATTCTCACAGGCATATAAATTACTAATTAGAATTAGTTATATTTGGCCAATTCTTAATGCCTGGGAATGCTATTTTATTTCAGTTCTCAAAGTTACTATAACATACACATACACACACACACACACACATCACATCACAATTTCCTGCAGCAACATTATCAGGAAGTTCTGCAGGGAACAAAACAATTGACGTTAAAAATCAGCACTCTGCCATTGTCCCTGTTATTATCTGCCAGAGACTCTGCATAATGGATTGTAAACCACCCAGGCTGGCTGCCACAAACATGTGAAATGCTTGAATTTTATGGTGCTTAAATATTTAATGATTCACAGCGAAAAAATGTGAAGCGGGTCCAATACATTGCGTTCCTTGCTCTAACCTGTGGTTGTATGCTTAAGGGCTTTCGACATGTGACATTTGCAAGGTGCCTGGTCTGCTATCAACGCTTCTGTCTGTTGTATTAAATTTATATCATTTACTACATATATATATATATTAAAATTCTGTGATGACCTCCCCAAACAACTGTTTTATCTGGTGTGTTTATTTCCTTTCAAAAGTGAATGTACTTTTTTACCCACCTCGTAATACGGCCTACCTTGCAGCTGGCTTAGTGGGGAAGCGAGGAAAGGTTACATGGCAGAAGCGTTTACTGCAGATGGGAGGAACGTGGGAAGACTGTAGAAAGGAACCCCGTCTGCTCAGGAAAGGATGGGATTCCCAGGCTCCGGGAAGCGCTGTCCTCACACAGTGATGGGGTGAGGGGTGGACATGATCCCAGGCCTCAGAGCCAGGCGTCTGTCTGCATCAAGACATTAGCTTTCCTGCGGGCAGTGGGCAGGGCGCTGACCCTGTGGAGAATGAGACACCTGCTTCACAGGGTTTTTCTGAGGATTAAAAGTAAGAGATACAGGGCGGCCAGGTGGCTCAGTTGGTTAGAGCGCGAGCTGAGCAACAGGATTGCCGGTTCGACTCCCGCATGGGACGGTGGACTGCACCCCCCGCAACTTGATTAAAAATGCGACTGGACTTGGATCTGAGCTGTGCCCTCCACAACTAAGACTGAAGGACAACAACTTGACTTGGAGCTGATGGGTCCTGGGAAAACCACACTGTTCCCCAATGAGGTTAAAAAAAAAACAACAAAAAAGTAAGAGATACAACTATGAAGTGATGTAAAGTGTAAGGTAGTGTTATGTACTGATAACCACGGTAACTGGAAGTTAGGGGTTGGGTAGTGACTGTATTATTATTCTCTTGTAGCCGAGTGCCAGGATAGGTGCAGTGGAGACATTCAGTAACTGCCTCAGGGAGGCACTCTTTTTAAGTGGGAGGGAACTTCACCTGTGTTTGGTCCAACCTCTCACCTGATAGAGGACGATGCTGAACGTCTCTTGAGCTCGGTATTATCGGAACTATGTGACAGGCACTGTATTCACCCTGCTGTATGTGCTCCCTCTTAACCTCTCAACTACCCTATTTTGCAGATAAGGAGACTGAGGTTTAGAGAGAATAAGTAACCTGCTCAAGATCACACCGTCAGCACCCGGTAGGATCTGGACCCTGGTCTGTCACTAAAGATTCTGCTTCTATCCTACACTGTCGCCTGCCAGGAGCTTCCCCATTTGTGTATTGGTTAGAGAATAGAAGGTCCCATGTGGATGTCACCCTGGGGCCCTGAACTGCTGCTGTCACTCACTGCAAAGGCCCGTGTCATGGGTCCTCGAGCAACCCACACAGCTTGGCCTGGAGACTGTCTTAAGTTGTTGTTGGAGGGCTGGGAGCAGGGAACTCAGGAGGCCAGAGCAATTTGGGGAGAGCCCAGGCGGCCTGTATGACAGGGCCAACTGAAGGCCAGCCGGATCTCTGGAGCCCCTGGATGTCCAAGGTCAGCCATTCAGGAGAGCTGCTCTGAGTTGGAGAAAGGAATAACTCGAGGTCCTTATCTGGCGGCTCAGTCATTCAACTTGACCATTTTTATTCTCCCACTTGCCAGCAAGGCACTCCATTCATACATTATTCTAGGGGGTAGTTTGTATCCTCATTGCTCTAATTTTATCAGCTAAAGACGAGATGTCCAACCCGTAATCAATTGAATTTATCTGTTTTGAAAAACTAGGGAAAGTTTTAAAATCAGGAGTAAAAAGTTCTTCTGGTCACAAAGCAATCAGTCTGCTTTACAACACACACAGTAAATGGTGTATTCAACCGGTGACAACATGTGTGGTTGCAGTCACCATTTATTCTGCTCCCAGGAGGCACGAGGGGCAACTCTAGCAACTACCACATCTGGTTGTTTGGGCCAGCCCACTTCTGATGTGCACGGCTGCCAACATCAGCCTCTGGGATTGGTACCTTGTTTGTGGAAGGAAAGTGATGTATGGCTGCAGGTAAGTTGTCTTCCTCGAACTTATTCTTCCTGCTGAAATCAGGTCCTCTTTTCTGCCCAACACAACGGAAACAGGGAGTGCTGCTTGTTACTAGCTGCTGACCTTGGCTCCCACACTTCACCTCTCTGAGCCTCCGTAACGAAACTGAAACAGGATGGACGGTTCTCTTTCTTTTTGCGAGGGGGGTTGCTACAATCCTAGCGGATAACTGGTGATCATCTTAAAATGCATTCGTGTACCCTGAAATCTGAGAAGGACTTTGGTGCCTATAAACTAGTGAGATTAGTTTTCTTTCTTTCCGTTTACATCCATGTTCTCATTTGATTTTACCCTGTGATGAGAACAGCTACAATAAGTAAGAGGAACATCTTTTTATGTGTCACTGGTGATGGCAGAAACGAGTTTCTTTCTGTTTCAATCCACATTGATTGGTTCTGACATTCCAGACAAAGCATTGTTCAAAGTACTCCAAGGAGATACACAGACACACGGTCAGGGTCCCTGCCCTCGTGAAGCTTACAATCTAGAGAGAGACTTCCTCTCACTGAGCATAACCAGCAATTCCAAGCTGCCTGTGATGAAGACCCCTGATGGGGGCAAGGCCATCCTGGGCTGTGGTGTCTGGGGCAGGGCAGGGAGGACCTGGGTGGGTGGAGAGAGGAGAAGTCCGTTCCATGGAAGAGCACATCGCAAATTAAGTCACAGGATCAGGAAAGCTCACAGCTTGGGCGGTGAGACCAGGTAGCAGAAGTCCAGATGCATGGAAAGCGGGGATGAGGCAAAAGGCTGGTTGGTGCCTCACCGTCAAGGCTAAAGAGTTTGACCTTTATCCTTTGGTAACAGAGACAATAAAAGGCACTGCGGTGGAAGTGGCATCGCAAGAGTTCCTTTTGGAAGAGTAACTGGCAGAGCTATTTAGAAGTGAGTGAAGGGGTATTTTAAGTATTGAGCACAGTGATGAACTCAGAAATGTTAAGGTCCTTCTTAGCAGAGTCTGTGATTCTAAAATGAAAGACTAGGGCCCCCCCCCCAAAAAAAAAATTAGGAAATGACCGTAATAATCCATGGAAGGGAAAGGAAAAGATAGGTTTTTTAAAAAATGACTAATTGAATACAATTCTTTACTAAATACTGAATCTCTCAAGAGAATCTAAGCCTGGTCAGACATTCCCTCTGTCTTACAGTCCGTTTTTGTGCCAGACCTCATCCCTTTAGCTAACTCACTCCTCGGGCGGCAGAACACATGCCAAATACGTAGCCTGGCCCTGATCCTACTAAAACCAGACACTCACAGCTTGGTCTGAGCCTCCACTGCAGACAACTTAAAAAGATGGACGAGACTTGGACAGTCATATATGACTTTGCAATCACACCAATACATTCAAGCTCATTAAGAGCAAGCAATTTTAACTACTCCCTCATCTTGAGAACCAAGTTTCTGAATTAAGAGGTTTTGTAAGTCGACTGACCACAATCAAACTGTGAGAAGCAGATAGTTAACAGACAATCAGGAAATTATTGTTAAGCAAAGAGGTAAAATTTAAAATTTTAAAAAGCAGCTCTAAATGTTCATCCCCTATTAGAGAGAATTAGTCTAATACACTTTTGTTTGCCTTTGCAACCCAATTCCAGTTTGTTGGCTTAACTTTGGGGATTCCTTATTGTAGGAAAAAAATAAGATGGACATTGAAAATAACAAGCCCTGGTTACAGGCAAGGCTATGAACTGAACAAAGTACAATAATTTCCACAACACCTTGACTGTTGTGGAAATAATGGTTTATATTTATAACTGAAATTACTTCCCATCTCTCTCAAGTTTAGTGGTGTTGCGCTTCAGTAATAAAGGTGTCACATTACAGGTATCCAATTCCAGTGTCTTCATGTCTCACCAGTCAAACAGAGCGAGGAGCTACTATTATTGGATTACACAGCAATAAAAAAATACTCCCCTAGACAGTGATTGCACTCTTAATGAACAGAAAAAACACTTCTGTGGGAAACTAATGTTTAATAAGCCCCCACCAGGAGCCAGGACCAGACTTTGGGTGGTGGGAGGGGAGAAGGGGAGAGTGTAGAAAGACAGACAAGATACTGGCCTGGTCCCAGCGCCATGCGCACAACCCACGCTCCCGTGTGGAAGGCACGTCTTTGTGCACAAATAATAATGACAAGATAGAAGTGTCCTAACAGGTTACTTTTTCAGTGTGCTCTGAGAAGGTGGCGTGGAGGAATGAGGTTACTCCTAATGGGGAAATGAGTCCAATTCAGAGTTTGGGAGAGAGAGGCATGACGTTTAGCGTGAACGTAACATGTTTAAAGGTACCAGACTCACAGATACAACTCATATTATAAACATGCTGTAGCTTTACATCAATTGTAAAGTAACCCAAGGAGCCCAGGTATCGAGTCAGAAGGTCAAAGTGCCCCCAGGTCTCCTGTGGTTGCCTTCGCTCATTTACATGCACGTGTCAAAGCCTTTCCCAGGTCCGTGCACATTAGGAACTGGATGCAAAACTGCATAGCTGGTGTGCTCCAAATCTGTTGGATGTATATAAAGAAAAACAGAGAAAGCAATGCTCTTCAAATGTTAACCCTGGGTACCTCTAAGGGGTGGGCATACAGGCGATTTTAAAATTGTACGTGCCTTTATTTGTATTTCTGCTTATGCAGTGAATTTTCTCAATAGACAGTACTTATTAAGTCCATTTTCCTGATTATATATTTTTTATTATTTCATAAATCTGTTTTCCTGTTGCAAAAATAATACACCATATATACATACATACATTTTTAAAAGAGACCAATATAAAATTGTAAAAGAAACAGATAGAAAAATCCTAGGCACTCCTCTCAAAAACAACCTCTGTTAACAAGTGGGTTATTATCTCCCATAACATGGTTGCTTTATGCAAATACAAGGTGTATATATATTACTTTCATAACCAGAAAACTCTACAAATGTCTAGATAAATCCACATAGAAAGGTCCTTTGCTGCTCCCAACACTTTAAAAATAAGTATCTCAGTGACAATAAGACATCAGTGACATTTGACTTTGTCCATTTATTCAAGCACCAGAAGAGATCTTAAACGATTTGGACAGACAGCCTCTGTGTTAATGGCATCACAGGGGCCAGGGGAGTGTCTTGGACACTTGAGTAGGACAAGCAGCTATTACCTTGGACCATTAAAAGGCACTTTTGGAGGGGGGAGGGGGAACTTCCTCAAGAGAGGACCGCCTTTGCTCCTCTCTGCAGGTGGCAGCTGGTGCTGCTTTGCTGATTAGTGAAATACGAGCCACAACCCTAGGTACACAGACGGCCTGCCACCAAGAGGCTGCCCAGGTTGTGGGTGCGCCCTGACAGCCAGTGGCGTGTGCAGGAGGACTCCCCAGCTGAGGTCTTACTAAAGCTTCTCCAGTCACGCATTCTCTAAAGGCAGAGCGATGTCAGAGCAAGCAAGGGCGCTGTCAACACCCCCAGACGCAGGGACCCAGGGAGCTCAGGCACCCACGTATAGGAGACTCGGACCGCACACCGCTGGGGAAGCCACATCCTACTCTTGGCAAGTCACCCCGGCAAGGCGCCAGGAGGACCAGGGACGGCTCCTCACGTCCCGCCACGTCGAACAGGGAGCCCGCCGGGCAGAACGAGGGCCTGGTGAGAACGGGCCTCCTGGTGAAGGTCACGGTCTCCAAAACCAAGACGGGGCGGAGGCACCCCTGAGTCAGCAGTGAAAGAAAGGAGGGTGGAAAGTGGTCCCCACGTGCAGGGCATGACCTGCTGACTGTGGCGGAAAACGAGGCCAGGAGAGGGGCCACCGCCCGCAAGCTGTGAGCTGCAGCCGACAAGGTCAGTCTGTGGGTGAATCGAGACGCACGGGGGGCCACCAGCCGGCCGGCCAGGCAGATGTGACCGGTGTGGGGCAACAGGGCACTCTGCTTTGGTTTAACGTGGACGACGGGCTTGGGGGAGGGACCCCCCAATAAAGGGCGGTCGTGCCCCGGCTGGACCACGTGCCTCCGGAAGCCGTGCCTCCTCATTGGCTGTCGAATCGGTGAAGCCGCCTTCTCCTTTCTTCTTCGGGCGAGAGGCGAAACCCGTAGGGTGGGGGGCTGTTTCTGCTGTTTCCTGGAAGGAGAAAGCACGGGGGGAAAATCAAACACTGCCAAACCCCTGCTCTGATGTTTACAGGGCACTGGTTCCTAGGATTCCAAGGGCGGATTAAAAAAAAAAAAAAAAAGACCAATGGCTTGGGTGTCATCTTTATTTTAGCACGAAACAGAAATATGACAAACATATTTCAATGTTATCTCTCAATGCTGTTATTTTTAGCGTGGTCCAGTCTGTGAGCCTAATCTGACTCGCTCCGAAGCTTCTCGCCAGTCCTCACGTTTTACTTTTGCTTCCTCCGTGCCCCATAACTAATTGGCCATCGCAACTTCCCTAATATCTCAAGGGCTTCGTTTCTTTCTTTTAAAGCTCAGAGGTCAGTTGTAACCGTCTCTAACTTCCCCACCAAGTGTGCTGGTTGCTTTCTCCTGGTCAGCCTTTGGGACCCCCTTTTCCTCCCTCTAACCGGTGCCTCCTCCCAGCCAGGGTTTCACACCAGCTGGAGCTACACGAGCACCCAGGGGGGCATCGGGGACCACGGGGCATCGGGGCCCACGGGGTAGGGGCAGCATTACCATAATGGCCAACATCTAGGCAGGCAGACAAAACTGCAGGCATAAGATCATATGAAGGACAATGGAAATCAGTACTGAAAAGGGTTTCTGGGGGCTGCAAACATACCAAAAATATAATTTACAATGATCTAAGCATTTCAATCATTACATAAAAAACAAAACAAACAAACAAATAAAACACTCTTCCAGGCATTGTGGGGTCACGAAGGAATAAAAACAGACAGCCCTCGACCTCAAAGCCCCAGCAACCTGATGTAATGAGTGAGCTTCAATACCCTCCATGAGGCCGCCATGTAGGGCTTCACTGATACATATGTAAGCAGCAGGTTTACTTTTAAGCACATGGACCTGAAAGATGGCACCTTTCCACTTCTGTGCCTCCGCTGACCCTGTTAACTCGCTCTCAAAGGCCCTCGCCCATCGCCTCCATCAACCAATAGTCTGACTTCTTTTCCCGCCCCATCCAAACCGCCCAGCCTCCTGGCCACTGAGGATGGGAGAGCTCCCTCCCGATTCAAGCTCTCCAGCTTCCAGCACCTTCCTGCTGGTAACCTTCATGTGACAGTCACCACATCCTGCCAGGAGTGCAGCCACCTGGTCCCACCTCTTCTCTCTCCTACTCGGATCATAAGCTTTAAAGCAACAGGGAGCATCTCGGACACTTGGTTCTGCGCCCCAGGGCTGGGTACAGTCCTGGACACGCAGCCGCTGTTCAATAAACCTATGACTTACGGCTTCTGAGGTTATATGGTACAGCCAGACAGTGACATTCAACATTGCCCACTGAGATTCTGACACGACGGGGGGTGGGGGGGTGAGGGTGGAGGGGCAAATACTCTGGAACCATTAGCCTGGCTGGGAAGGGTGGGTGGGCAGGGGGGTTCGAGCCAGAGGGGAAAACAAGGGGGGAACAGTGGGTCCCTCCTGCTCACTCTCCAAGTGTGGTGCCTTGTCAAAGATGTTTACAGGCGACAGAGCAACATGACAATCGTTAAGGATCTGATGCAAAGATGGGAGAAGAGTGTGAAACTGAGTCAGGCTGCTCAACCAGGAACTGGAATTTCGGCTGTCAGGCAATGAGAGGTTTTCCAGAGGCAGTCCAAGGTGGCCCTGGGTGTTTCTGCCTCCCCTCTGCGATGGAGCCAGTGCTTACACAGATCTGGCTCTCCTCTCCTGAGGCCATGGGGGAATCACCCCTCTGACCCCCTGTGACCCCTCCTGACCCCGTGACCCCTCCTGACCCGTACACCCAGAAGTGAACTGGGCAGACCTAGCCCCACACTCGCTCCTGCTGGGGAAATGCTACCTCATGGTTCTTTTGATACAGTGAAGTGTATGTCAAATTTATCAACTTTCACTGAAGATGATGTTCAAAAACATATTATAGGCTTGTAAGGCTTTCATCATAAAGATTTTATGAATACTATAAGATTCAGTTTTACTGGATATGGCTTTTGCCATACATATTTGTAAAGAAAATTCTCTTTGTTTGAAGAGATACATGCTTTGAAATTAGAAAGAAACGCGTGAATCCCATTAGCATTAGTCTATACTTAAAATAGTTCTGTGTTATAAAATCCCAGTCCTGCTTTCCCTTTAACAGTTGTTTTTAACAAGACTATTCCTAATTGAGCGTCTGCGTGCAGGCCAGGATGTGACACCCATGCCAGCTGGGAAGGGAGCTCTGAGGACCAGCTGTGGGCGGGGCAGACGCAAGCTCAACGTGGCATGTTGACTCGGCTTCAGGGCACAAACCCACGCAGCCCGAGAGCACGCTCAGACACCCAAAGGGAATCACGGCGTCGAAGAAAGAAAAAGCCTGAGAATTAATGTTTTCCCCAAGGGAAATGCAGGCAGAAACTAAGAGAGGCCCACTGTGAAGGTTCCCGGGCAGCGGCTCTCAAAATGAGCCGCCATCACAAATGCTCCCCAGACCCCACAGGGCATAAGAGGAGCACAAGCGCTGAGCCAACAGAAGAAACGCCCCACGTCGGAGTAGAAAACTCTCATCAAGAGAGAAAGGATAATCACTCTTCGCTTATAGCGCGCCATTAAGGTGCTCTATTCCAATTTGCTTTCATTTCCAATTTCATAACCCCAGTTTTACAGGTGGGGAAACTGAGGCTTGGAGAGTGTTAGGGATGCACGTAACGTCACAGAGCTAGCATGGGGGGAAGAAAACCTTGAACCTAGGTCTGCTGACTGCAGTTCTGGTTCTCATTCCACAAGGCACTGGGCCATCACTTCTAACGCGCTGAGTTTGTTAAACATTTACAGCCTGTCACCATCCCGTACCCTCCTGCTAAAACCCCGAGTGTCTGTCCCTTTTCTTCATGGGTATTCGGGGAGCTGACTGGCATGTGAAATAGAAAAAGATCCAGCCGAGGCCCTCAACTCAGGGGAACTCCGCTACCATCACAGACGTGACCAAAAAGTTCCCACACGGGGTCCACTGGCGACTAGAGTGGCTCGGCTTCTCAGGGCCACCAGGGGGCCTTGGCTGTAATAGCACAACAACAGGAACGACAGCAGTGCTGGGTCTGTAACCAGGACTGACTGTAGGGGTATTTTAAACCCTTCAAACTTGGTGTTTCTGGTAATATAAAGCCCCGCTCCTGTCTGAAGAAGGACTTCATTGCTTCATTTCCGGCTCTGAACATCACACTGTTCTTAATCTTTCTGGGAAAGTTTTCAACTGTAAATTAATCTTTGACATTTTAAAGACAGTTACATATTTGATGTCAGCTAGCCACTCACGCAAAGCATTTGTCACATCTGTGCTTTGGGTCAGAGCCACACTGGGGACCAGGGGACCAGGCCTCCCGGCTGCTTCCAGCTGTCTCAGCTAGGTCCTGTCTTCCAATTCCCCACCTTTTCATTTATTATTTTCTTTAAACCTGTGTCACAAGTTTTTCTTCTGTGTCACACCACCCATGACTTCTCTTCATAACCTCCAGGATCCTCTGCAGGTATTTCTCGAAGGGTCTTGAAGACATGTGTTTTGATATGCACTTACATTTGTTAAGCGCACAGGAAAGATCTGGACTGGGCTCCGCTGGGTGGTGAGAGGCGGCGAGGGCCCCTGGGGGTGATGGAAACGTGTTGGTAGGGAGTCGGGAGATGCTGCCAGCCCTGCCTGGAACCAGAGGGGTCGCCCAGGCAAGTCTTCATTTCGGCAGGCTTGCGTCGGTTCACTTGTGAGAGGACACTGCTGAACAAGGTCATTGCCAACCAGGGACTTCCCAGGACTCTACAGAGTTTGATGACCTGGGATTAAATCCCAACTGCTCTCCTTTCGAGCTACACGTCCTTGATCAAGTAGGTTACCTTCACTTGGCCTTAGTTTCCTTGTCTATAAAATGGAAATAGCTGCGCAGGTCCTTCCCCGAATTGTCGAGAGGGTGAGGCGAGTTCATGGCTACAAAATGCTGAGTACTAGGCGTGTAGTAAATGCCTGATGAACACTGGATGTTCACGGTTTTTAATCTCTAACTTCATCATGAATCATACGTTAAATGTCTACTTGTTCGTATCTTTAACACTGAGAGATACGAAGCAAAATGGCAAAAACAGTGACTTCTTAAAAGTTGGAGTTCAACTCTGTTTGAAGACCATCTTACCAGGTTTTGTAAAAAAATGGAGCGTTGCTATTACGATATATTTTCCTTCTAAGAAATAGATACCAAAAAAAAAAAGTAATCAACACCGTCCAGTTAGCAGCTCACTTTTGTAACACAGAGAAGCTTTTTTGTCATTGGGAAAACTGGAGAGCCCAGCCAAGACCTTCTTTTCTGCGCTGAGTTAAATCACGCAGTGAACATTTACTGGCCTGGGCGAAACAGCCCTGCTCTGAGGAACTTGGTACAGAACATTAGTATTTATGAGCCTTGCCTCTCTGTGTTCCTGTAAATGGAGGTCAGCCCTCAATTTTACTCAAAGAAACAGCGAGCATGCCTCAGAGAACATCAGGAACAGTTTAGGATGATGTAGCTCAATTATAGCACCAATAGTGAGATCATAAGATTTATTGATTTGTGGTTCTTGATGGAAAAATGTTCAGTTCTCCACCCTTATGTATAATGCAGTAACCTCTGCATTTTACATCTACGGGAGGGGAAGCGATTTCATCCAGATAAGAATTGCTAAAAAGAACAACCAAGCGTTGATGGCCATCTGCCCTACTGCTCACCATCCCTGTAAATAGAGATGTTTAATTTGCTGGTATTTGTAGATCCTGCTCGTGATCTGATGAACACTCTTTACCATCTGGTGAAATTATACTCAAGTGAAGTCATGGGATGACATATCTTTCCCTTAAATTAGGGAGCTAAAAAGGCAATCACTTGTTTCATATTTAAAAAAAAACAAAACAAACAAACCAGGAGCCCTCTAAATAAATCACCAGCATTCTCTGAGATTTCTATCGTTAAATGAAGGCAGCAG